AGAGACCCTGCTTCATTCTTGTGCCTAAACCTGTGCTTTAATTCAACTTGATCTAAGGACTCTGCATTGAGGGGTCATGAGAACTGGCCCAGTGAATGATATTTCAGGCCCTTGTGTGCATGTCTCTTTCAGGGAAAGCCCTAAGGCGGGGCAATAAAGCAGTGTAACATAGGAGTAGGGTATTCTTGTATCCTCGGAACAAGCGCTAATCCCACACTGTCAGATTCTTACCAGTAATGCCACATAATTGAATGTCTCTCACTCTACTGCAGATAGTACAGATGGTGACCCAAATGTCATAATCTACATTGAAATGTCACACATACCCACTCCAATAGACATACTCTCAGGTGTTGCCATGCCTCCATCCACATGTCAGCACCAGGTATTTGCAGACATGATTGGTGGACTTCATGTATGAAAAGACAAGAGTAACTTTCCATAGTTCTTAGTAAGTTTCAATTATTTGCAGAGTCACCATTCCCTCCCTGTTCTCCTTTTTGTTTCTTCCCGATTTATTCATTAGGGTGTTCTATGCTACTTAGCCTTACTGGCATCTGCTTTCATTTCTTGAATTCGTATCAGAATGTCACCTGCGCCCTGCCTTCCTAGAATTCATGGTGATGCAAAAACAGAAAACTTGAAGAAAAAGACTGATGGGAGGCCTCTTGAACTCTGTTAGTTTCCCTACTGTTTACTTTTCTTTTTGTGTTTCATGCACCATCCTCAGGCACCAGTTTCTGATTTTTAATCTAGTCTCACAGTAAGTAGGTTGTCCTCATTTAGATACCATTTTACTTCTCAACAATTTAACCATGACATTAAGTTGTCCAAACTGACAAACACATCCCAGGTGAACTTACTAATTTTTGCCATTTCTCAATTGTCTTAATTACAGTTAGAATTTGACAGTTAAGTCCATCTTTAGTTCACCTTTAGTAACTGCACGCATATATTTAACTAATTATTAACCTCTTTGCACACAGTGTTTTCCTATGTACCTCACATTATTCAACTTCCTTGAGAGAACACATATCGCTCTTGTGTTTTTATGAAATAACTTTCAGCTCTCAGAAAATTGTGTATTTGAAATTTTTTCCTGCAGCATTTCTACCACTTTTCAATATACATTTTCTCTTGCACACAAACCTCACACAGGCTCATGTCAAATATTTATATAAGCATAGTCAAAATAGGATGAATAAATTTCTCTTTGGTAGTCAGTTTCCAGTTACACCTTCACGTGACAGGTAGAGCCTGCCTTAGAGTCTCTATAATCAATCCTCAACTTCCGTTACACAACAGTATCTCCACCATTGGGAAATCAATTATCTGTTACCATAGGCTCTGGTAGAGTTACATTCCTCTGCCATCTCAAAATAAATCTACTTGTGAGATCATACTCATATCACATGGTGCCATCACTCACGTTGAGCCCTACTGGAATGGTAATAAAGTAAGTATTCCTAATATGTGCTCACGAAAGAGGACTGGAATAACCTTATGACAAAGCTAAGATTGATGAAGTAAAGTGGTTTCAGGATGGGAGGCACTTTTCCATTTCAGGTTATCTGAATACTGTAAGTCTTGACTAAAAGACTTTATTAGTTTGTATTAACAATACCAGCTCATGATGAATTAAAAAGTTAAACATGAGGCTCAGTGCGGTGGCTCATGTCTTGTAATCTCAGCACTTTGGGAGGCCGAGGCAGGTGGATCAACTGAGGTCAGCAGTTCGAGACCAGCCTGGCCAACATAGTGAAACTCAGTCTCTACTAAAAATACAAAAAATTAGCCAAGCATGATGGCGAGCTCCTGTAATCCCAGGTACTTGTGAAGTTGAGGCAGGAGGATCACTTTAAACCGGGAGGTGGAGGTTGCAGTGAGCCAAGGTTGCACCATAGCACTCCAGCCTGGGCAACAAGAGTGAAACCATTGCACTCCAGCTTGGGCAACAAGAGTGAAACTCTGTCTAAAAAAAAAAAAAAAAAAAAAAAAAAATTAACACGAGAAACCTGTAACACTGTCTTGCAGCTTTGCACCAAGATTACCGTTAACAGTCATAGTTAGTAATATTTATTTGTGCCAGGGGAATACCATTTTCAAGGCTCCTGAATTTAAATTTCCTATTTAGTAGATTTATGTTTACCTAATGAATTTAAAATACCAGCATGAGTATTTTGCTAAGAGAGAGGATTAGATAACACCCTAGTGTCCCAGAAAAGGGTATGGATACTTCGTCAAAAAGTATTCAAAATATTCCCAAAAGAAACTTTTTAGCAATGACAAATGCAATAGTTTATGCTATTCACTATGTGAAAGAAGTTCATTCCCTAAAGTGCTGGTAGTATTAGCTTTGTAAAAACATATCCCTGTTAATATTTTTTTAAACTATCACTTATAAGATAAACATAGAACTTGGTGTCATGTGCCTTTAAGATTGTCTATGTTTTGATCAAACTTCCTTTGCAGGCCCATTTTTCTCCCTGTTCTCCTGAGAGTCACCACCCACTCTTAACCGGCACCTTCATTAAGATAGAGCTCTCTGTTCTTTTCTTTTTTTTTCAAACTGTGCACAGGAATAACTAAAATCTTTGTTAGATATGATTTTCCATTAACAATAATGTGAAAATCAGGATTATTAATTCAAAAAGCAATTAAGTCTGAAAATTTAAAAACTAGACTAGGTATTTGGGAACAAAAGGTAAAGGAAGACGAGAATGTTTCTTTAGCACTATTCATTATGTCCCCTCTGTACACAATGTTGCATATATACAACTACTTCATTTTTATTGACATTATATAATAGTGAAATCCCCTGAAGCAACCTAGCATATACAGTTAGTGTCCAACTTTCAGGGGGTGGGAGTGGGGAGTAGAAACACACTTGATTAACAGTTTCTGCCCACACATTTTAGACATTTTTTTTTCTTTTTTCTTTTTGCCAAGTTTTTAGTAGTAAATTCATAAATATAGGAAATACTTTCACTCCTTCAGTGTTAAAATAGAAAACCAAACAGTGCCAACAGTAGTAGCTTAACTATTGATATACAAGAAAAACACAACGTCAATGGGTTTTCTTAATTATGCATTTTAAATAGCAATATGTGCATTTGTTTTTACAGTTACAATTTTTCTCATCTGTTTTAGGCAACAGCTTGTAATAGTTTTGAATCTATTAAGATGTTGCTTTCAATTTGAAATATTTTGTGTATACATGTATATAAAAAGTAACCCAATGCATGACTCATCTGACAGATGTTTAAGATCAATAAAGGCTTATTTTTCAATATGCAGTTAGGAAGAGAGGGAAGCAAGCCAACCTCTCTACGCTGTCTTTTTGCTGGCTTGTTTTTGCAGTGCTATCAATAGTGGTTTTTGGAGGGAACCATGTGCCTTCAGCCTATCTAGTTAGATCAGATACCACAATCAACAACACGGGTAGAAGAGATGGGGAAGGGAGAGTAGGTAAGTGTTAAACATTAATTTTTAAGTGTCCATTTTGTACTCTTTCTAGGTACAGAATTAAAAACAGGCCAATGAGGAAAAAGTTGTTATATTAGGAAAGAAACTGCAATTAAATCAAGACATAATAGCTGAATTAAGTTCTTTTAATAGACTGCATATATAGATGTTTAGCCATACTCTTAGATCAACTCTTTAAGAGAAGAACTTTATATCCAATTTACATGCTCTAGATACCACCTTATTTTTTACAGTAAGGTCTGGTATTCAATACCCACGTGTACACTGACAGCTTTAAGAAAAACAGAACACCGAGGGAGTTGTCATTTTTAGCAGCAATGAAATACCACTAACCCCTTTTTACATACCGAATTCAAGTCACTATCAGAGGTGAATGCACCACAAAGTTACCAAGTACAAAATTACTAATCTTTTTAAAATTAATAACTTGAAGGCTGGGCGCGGTGGCTCAAGCCTGTAATCCCAGCACTTTGGGAGGCCGAGGCGGGTGGATCACGAGGTCGAGAGATCGAGACCATCCTGGTCAACATGGTGAAACCCCGTCTCTACTAAAAAAAATATACAAAAAACTAGCTGGGCGTGGTGGGGCGTGCCTGTAATCCCAGCTACTCAGGAGGCTGAGGCAGGAGAATTTCCTGAACCCAGGAGGCGGAGGTTGCGGTGAGCCGAGATCGCGCCATTGCACTCCAGCCTGGGTAACAAGAGCGAAACTCCGTCTCAAAAAAAAAAAAAAAAAAAAAAAAAAAAAAATTAATAACTTGAAATTATCCTTGTTCCCCACCCCATTACATCTTTTTATAAAGAGCAAACATTTTTCTATTTTATACACAGGCTAGCAGGCTTGTTTCAATATGAAAGTGCTAGTTCACTTACAGGTTTTTATAATTAGTTATGTAGTGCTACAATAAATGTCCAATCATCTACATAGAAACAATGATGAATGAAAAAGATGAAGATTGAATAAGGCTATTAGATTACCTTATCTTATTTACATATAAAGAATAGATACCCAATGGTGAGGTAGAGACAGAAATTGGACAAACACTGAAAGGTAAAAAAGTTACACCTATCTTTGAGGTTCATACTGTAAATGAGACATTTAAAAAAGTTCTGTAGCCCATGCCTATTTTTTCCTCAGAAAAAGAAAAGCTGCCTTCATGACATCCCCTCGTTTCAGATTTCCACAGCGTCACTTTTAAGCTTCAGAGTCAAGATCTAACTTTCTTCAAAAAATAAAAAAAATACCCCCCCCCCCCAAGGTACCTCTCCATCCCACCCACCCCCGAAATCCTGCTGGTTTCTTTTCCAGTGCCCAGTTGCATGATCAGGTACCATCTCCTGGGGTGGTGGTTGTTGTTTTTTTTGTTTGTTTTTTGTTTTTTGTTTTTTGTTTTTTTTTGGTCCATCTATTGATCATTAGTTTAGAATAGATAACATGAACTAGTTCTGGAACTACTACTGGGAGGAACACAAGCCCTTTACTACAATCACACAGCAGGGAAGAAAGAGCTAATTCAATTAATCCCTGATGCTGGGCCTCCAAAATTGAAAGAACTTGGTAAAACTGGGGCACTAAGTTTGTATCCTCCATGCTTCTCAATCATTTTGGATCCATGGGCTTCTCTTCTTTGATCAGCCAAAGTTGTTATGTCCTGTAACCGTTTTCTTTGTTCGTCATTAAGACCGTGAGTCAGAGCCTGATACCAAACAGGATTACGATTTTGAATAGTTTGAAAAATAGCTTTAAATATCTGATACTCATCAACAGGGTTATCTTCATCATCAGTGATTGCGGAATAGCCTTCCAGAGTGGTCTCTTCAGCATCATCTTTTCCCCAGTCTTCATCATCTCCCTCTTCACCTGCCTGCTTAGCCAGAATCTCCAAATATTCTTGTCCATCTTCACCAATACCATGTTCATCACTCCCCAGTTCCTCGGTTTCATCCTCTTCAGCTTCATCATCATCATCACTGTCATTCTTCTGTTCTGCATCGCAGGTGTATGCTCTTTTTAATCCATTAAATATGCTGAACGAGAGCATAGAAGATCTTGAATATTTGTTTCTGGATGAGGACAGACTGATCAGACTGGTCAGAAAGAAGCTGGGTGAAACTATCCTTTAGATCTGGCAGAAAATGCTGCGTTGCTGCTACCGGTGGACTCTGCTCCTCTGGTTTTTTATACTCATAATTTTTCACAAGCTGATGAAGGCAAGCAAGAATTCCTAGCCAACAAGCACTGTTATCGGACTGAAGATAAAAGCCAATTTTGTGCAAAATGGCAGTCCAGCAGCTTGGATAATCATGTTTCATGATGTGATGCATGCATGTAGTAAGCTGTACCCTGATGACCTCAGGAGAATAGATAACGGCTCCTACAATATTTTCTCGAATACAATGGCGATCTTCTTCTGGAATAGTATAAGAGGACCGCTGGTCCTATTTCTCGATCAGGCCCATACTGTGCTATGTTTTTCAAACAGATAATACCTGCCTGTCTCACAGGTGAATCCAGCTGTTCCGACGTACTAATCTGGAGCAGTGTTGAGACAAAATTCAGACTTGTGTGTTGGGGTCCATCACAGCATGGACTCGGTCAAACCTGGGTCTCGGGTGCTACTGGTCAGGAATAGCGCCACCAACTGCGCACATGGACTCCCCACGAAAGGCTTTTTTTAAAAAAAAAATTATTTTGAGATAGAGTCTCAGCCTGTCTCCCAGGCTGGAGTGCAATGGCGCGATCTCGGCTCACTGCAGCTTCCGCCTTCTGGGTTCAAGCGATTCTTCTGCCTCTGCCTCCCGGACAGCTGGGATTACAGGCATCCGCTACCACGCCTGGCTAATTTTTGTATGTTTTTTAAGTAGCGACGGGTTTGTCCATGTTGGCCAGACTGGTCTCAAAGTCCTGACCTCAACTGATCCACCTGCCTCCACGTCCCAAAGTGTAGAGATTATAGGCGTGAGCCACTGCGCCTGGCCTCTCTCTCCTTTTCTAATTCTCTGATGTATTCTCTCCTAAAGGTCCTGCTCAGTGCCTTATTTTTGGTGATTCTTCTCTGTCTTCCTTGCGGCTGTTCCAGTTTGGTGTGTGCCTGTTCTAAATTGTCAGTGCTCCTTGACTATTTGCTCCCTCTGAAATCCGTGGGGCATGATGTTGCTATGCTTGGGTCAGGAAGGAAAGGCTGCCCTATGACTAGTGCTGCTCTGGGTAGGGTTTGAGGCAGAGCAATGGCACTTTCACTTATTTCCCTGTGTGGTGTGAGGTCTCTCTTCAGAAACATATCTATGGTCTCTAAATATTCTCAAATTGGGAAAACTGGATGCATCTCAACACCCCTATCATGTAGAACTTAACCATGGAAATTCCCTAGTTAGGTCTGAGTTCAAGTCCTGAATATCCTTGTTAATTTTCTGTCTCATTGATCTGTCTAATATTGACAGTGGGGTGTTAAAGTCTCCCGCTATTATTGCATGGAAGTCTAGGTCTCTTTGCAGATCTCTAAGAACTTGCTTTATGAATCTGGGTGCTCCCGTATTGGCTGCATGTATGTTTAGGATAGTTAGCTCTTCTTGTTGCATTGATCCTTTTACCATTATGTAATGCCCCTTTTGTCTCTTTTGGTCTTTTTTGGTTTACATTTTATCAGAGGCCAAGATTGCAACTCCCGCTTTTTTTGCTTTCCATTTGCTTGGTAAATATGATTTATATTTTAAAGCAATTACTCTAGATACTCTGTGAGTAACTGATTGTAGAAAGCGGAAGGATTTGAAGCAGGGAAGCCACTTCAGAGACTCTTTCAGTATGCCAGTGGCCTCAACTAGGATTATAGCGAGAGAAGCTAATATATATATGAGGTAGAATATTAAGGATTTTGTGATATTTTTAGTACAGGATAGGAGATCAGGTAAAGGAAGTAGTGATGGAAGACTCATAAGTTTCTGGTTTGAGAATCTGAATGTATGTTGGTGGTGTTCGGAGTTGAAAAAGTCATGTGAAGGAATACATGATGTTTTTGAGAAGGATATATTATGATATCAATTTGAGACATGTTAAATTTGAAAGTACTGAGAGATTTCCAATTGCAGAATGGAGATAGGCAGTTGGATTATCGGGCTAAAAATCATAAGCCAAGTTAGTACTGGAGATACAGATTTGGGAGCAGGAAACATATAAAATGCTGTTTTAAACCTCCTTTCCTGAATCTGTTTACCTTTTACTGTAGACACATTACAGAGGAAGTGCTGAAGAAAAGCATGCACCTGACAGGGGAGGTTGCTAAGCAACAGATGAGGAAAGTCATCCAGCCAGGCAGAATTGATGTTGGCCTTTGGGGACCAAGTGCTGCAGTCCTTCCTACTATTAGCTTCCTTTCATATGCAGGCTTCTGGCATGAGTTGATGCCAGAACAAATGTTAACTTGCACAAAGATCTGTCTTGAATTTTGGAAAAGCATCAGTTCATTTTGAGTCATCTCACATCTGTATTTAATTTTCTGCCCTTTTGAGTTTCTCCAGTCATTCTGGAAGCATAGCAGCATGTGTGTCCTTGGGTAGGATCCACTTACTGTGCATTCCACTTTGCACATTGAGAAACCAGGCTCAGAGAATTGAGTGGCCTGAGCGGAGTCACACAGCTTGAGACAGACAGGCTGGGCAGTCCGTCCCTGGAATTCTGAAGCCCAGCCCAGTTTCTCTCCATAAAACCACAGCTGCCCAGGCCTCAGCCCTGAAAGGAACCAGGGCTTGCCATGGCTCAGAAACATAGGTCTGATTGTCCTGACTGCTCCAGTGAGCACCAGGAAGGCCTCAGGGACATTGTGATTGTGTCTCTGATAAGGAAGAGGCCTGATGTTCTGGGCACAGAGTGGACACCAAGGAGCAATTCCCACATCAGGATGGACCCACAGCGGGGAGGTTGGGAGCCTCTGCTCATTTCTTCCTTGAAACAGAGTGTGAGCTTGGGCCTCCTAGAACACAAACCTTGCTTGTTTGGAACAAATGCTGCAGTGGAAGAGGTCTGTCACTCAAATGGGAAGGGTGCCTTGGTCCCCAGACCAGCACGAGTAGAATGTGAACTTTGAAGTTAGGAAGACCCAGGCTTAAACTTCTTTTTATCATTTCAAGATTTATTTTAGATTCAGGAGGTAAATGTGCAATTTTGTTACATGGGTATATTGCGTGATGCTGAGATTTGGAATATGAATGATCCCATCACTCAGGTAATGAGCGTAGTACCAAACAAGTAGTTTGTCAGCCCTTACCCCACTCCCTTTTTCCACTCTTCAGTAGTCCACAGTGTGTAGTGTTACCATCTTTACTTCCATGTGTACCGAATGCTTGGCTCCCACTAATACGTGAGAACATGTGGTATTTGGTTTTCGGTTACTGCATTAATTCACTTAGGATAATAGCCTCCAGTTGCATTCATATTCCTGAAAAGGACAGGATTTCATTCTTTTGTTGTGATTGTGTTGTACTCTGTGATGTATATGTGCCACATTTTCTTTATCCAGTCCACCACTGATGGGCACCTAGGTTGGTTCCATGTCTTTGCTATTGTAAATAGCATGGTAATAAACATATGCATGCATGTTTCTTTCTGGTATAATGATCTGGTTTTTCGGGTGTGTAGCCAGTGATGGGATTGCTGGGTCGAATTGTAGCTCTGTTTTAAGGCCTTTGAGAAATGTCCAGCTCTGTTTTAAGTCCTTTGAGAAATGCCTAGACTGCTTTCCACAGTGGCTGGACTAATTTATACTCCCACCAATAGTGTATAAGCATTCTCTTTTCTCTGCAGCCTTGTCGGCATCTGTTTTTTCAAACTTTTTAATAACAGCCATTTTGAGTGGTGTTAGATGGTATCTCATTGTGATTTTGATTTGCGTTTCTCTAATGATAGTGATGCTGAGCATTTTTTCATGTTTGGTGGCCACTTGTATGTCTTCTTTTGAGAAGTGTCATCCAGGCATGATGACTCATGCCTATAATCCCAGCACTTTGGGAGGCAGAGGAGGGCAGATTGCTTGGGTCCAGCAGTTCAAGACTAGCCTGGGTGACATGGTGAAACCCTGTCTCTACAAAAAACAAAAAAATTAGCTGGGTATGGTGGTAAACACCTGTGGTTCCAGCTACTCAGGCGGCTGAGATGGGATGATCACTTGAGCCCAGGAGATGGTGGCTGCACTGAGCTGCGATTTTGCCACTGCACGTCAGCCTGGGTGACAGAGCAAGACACTGTCTCAAATAAAAAACAAACAAACACCTACAAGCCAGAAGAGAGTGGGGGACAATATTCAACATCCTTAAAGAAAAGAACTTTGAACCTAGAATTTCATATCCAACCAAATTAAGCTTCATAAGCGAAGGAGAAATAAAATCCTTCATGAACAAACAATTGCTCAGAGATTTCATCAGCACCAGGCCTGCTTTACAAGAGCTCCTGAAAAAAGCACCAAACATAGAAAGGAACAACCAGTACCAACCACTCCCAAAACGTAACAAATGGTAAAGAGCATCGACACAATGAAGAAACGGTGTCAACTAATGGGCAAAACAACCAGCTAGTATCAAAATGGCAGGATCAAATTGACACATAACAATATTAACCTTAAATGTAAATGGGCTAAATGCCCCAATCAAAAGACACAGACTGGAAAATTGGATAAGAAGTCAAAACTCATCAGTGTGCTGTATCCAGGAAACCCATCTCACAAGCAAGGACACACAAAGGCTCAAAATAAAGAGATGGAGGAAGATTTACCAAGCAAATGGAGAGCAAAAAAAGAGCAGGAGTTGCAACTCTAGTCTCTGGTAAAATACACTTTAAACCAACAAAGATCAAAAGAGACAAAGAAGGGCATTACATAATGGTAAAAGGATCAATGCAACAAGAAGAGCTAATGATCCTAAATATATATGCGCTCAATACAGGAGCACCCAGATACATAAGGCAAGTTCTTAATGACCTACAAAGAGACTTAGACTCCCACACAATAATACTGGGAGACTTTAACACTCCACTGGCAATATGAGACGTATCAAC